CTCTCCATTCTTCGAAAACATGAGATATGTAAGAAAGCCGCTGGATAACTGTGCAGGAAATTATGACATCCTCACTTTCTGACGATGCTATTCTGTATGTTTGTTACTTTATCTCTCTTGTGACAGTGCTTAGCACAGAGCCTGCCAGCTCACTTCTCTTTTTATCCCTGAGGAATGCTCTCTTGTTTCATCTGTGTCTCTGTCCACTCCGAGGCCCAAAGTTGTTTCACCTCTTAACCCTCTGAGACATCACACTATCCACACATCCGTCCAGCATGCTCATCTTTTTCTTCTTCTGTCACATTTGAGCCACTTTCCAGACATGGCCCTTTTCATTAAAGGAGACCGTACTTAGATTTGGACTTCACTTCCCCCAGAGAGGCAATTTGTGTTGCTATGAAGCACATCAAAAGATGCGAAGCACTGATGTCTGGCCTCCTACTGCAAATTCTCCCGATTTAGAGAGAAAGGAAGCACAGACTGCAGACTCAGAGACATGTTGGAAGTGAAAGTACCATTGCATTTTGTGTTAACATGAGCATCCATCTGATGTTTATTACCTATGATATTAAATTGACAGTTACCAGTCTTTCAACACATGCAGTATGTAGGCTTATAAATATATGTTCACAAAGTGCTGAAAATCATTCCACAAAAAGGTTGTATGAGGAGAGAGAAAAAGATGGTTGTTGTGATTTTCCTCATGATAATTATGGACTGCAGGTCATTATTTACTCACCTTCACATTAACATTTTCCATCAATAATTATTAGCACTGGGAAATGTGAGATTTTCTGGATAAAACTACATGTACTTATTGAATCAACTTTAATTGAACAAATGAGCCGAAAAAGAGACACTTTGTTCCAGTGAAGAAGGCATTACACTTCTTCAGATGCTGCTTTCAAACCCTAAATCACTTGATATTCTTAATACTTGACATTTGCTAAAGATAGTATTATGAATGCAGAAAAATGCAGAAAATCAAATTGCTTTGATTTGGCACACAGCCACGTTGTTCTGCTAATTCAGTACCTCAGTTAAATGCATTGGTTTACGCATCGCTGCATGTTTATTTCTGCTATACTGGGTGAGAACCATTTATCTTATAGAACAAGACGACTTGTCCGACGGCATTTGGATTGTTGTGTGTGTGTGTGTGTGTGTGTGTGTGTGCATCTTTGAGTGTGTGCGTTTGTGCCACATCAGCCTCCTGACAGTGCTGACTGAACAGCATCTCTGATTAGGGCTGCACACAGTTTCACTTCATCTGCAGAAACAAAAAGCTGCTGGGCATTTTATGGAGTGTGTATCACACGTATACTAACACACATTCCAACATGCATGCACACAGGAAATACAATTGCTGAAACACACACATATTTTCAACACATTGACTAAAACACGGTTTTGCAACGGCAATGGGGACATTTAGCATGAAATGAAATAACACATACACGAAGATGAACTCTCACAAAACAATCGATTTCAATTCAGGTGTTTTAACAGTCCTCAGCTCCAAGACTCCTATAGAAGAGGGTGTGTGAATACTAAACGGTATGGAGTGACTGAGGCTGGGTTCAGCGCCGGTCTTTAACTATTGTGTGTGTGTGTTAATGTTTGGCAGGTATTGCCTCATTACACTCTCTGTGTTGCTTGTGTTTTTATTTCATTAGATATGGGAAGAGCTGAGTGTAAATTATTTTGTTATAAATAAAGAATGAGTTTTAATTTTATGGTGAATATAACTTTTACCTTGTAAAATATCTTATATCTAACCAAACTGTCTTTTTCTTTTTTCTCTTCCATGTTGCTGCTGCTGTTTCTGCTGATTGCCTCCAACAAAGGTAAATACATCAATTTCTCCTCCTCTGCCTCTCATCATATTCTTCTTGCTGAAATGTTTGGCTGTGTGACCTGATGGTGCCCAGTTTCTTCTGTTATTCCTTTGGAAAAATCTGTATCTGTTTTAAAGGCGCAGTGTGTAAGATTGAGGGGAATTTAGAGGCATCTACCGGTGAGGATTGTAGATTGAAACCAGGTGAAACTTGTGTTCGTTGTCAAAGAGGTTTTTTTTTACAGGAGCTGAATTATCAACAGACCTAGTCATTAAAACCACTAAAACACTGAATGAAGCAGTTTCACATTACATATCAGTGTTTCTCCAGTGCTGTTCGCCACATTGCAGATTGCTGGCCCAGCACCTGTCAATTTTCTTTGATAGCGTAGGATCCAGAGGTTTAGGAAGTTTTTACAGGGAGCTTAATTATAAACAAAGGCCTCTTCCTCTTCAAAGCAAATGGACCCAGTGATTTTAAACCAGTAAAAACATAAAGTAAAAAAGTTTCATGTTGAAAAAATCAGTGTCTTTCTAATGCTGCTCGTCGCCAAGGGACTGCTAACCATGGAGACTGGTGTAAAAACGTTTTGGGCTACTGTAGAAACATGGCAGTGCAACATGGCGGACTCTGTAAACAAGGACCTGCTCCCTATGTAGATATAATGGCTCATTCTAAGGTAATGAAAACACAAGGATTCTTATTTTTAGGTTATTATATACTAAAGGAATCATAGTTATTATATTATATTCCATTTCTGCCAGTATATCCCCCTAAATCCTACACACTGTACCTTTTAAGAGAGTCAAGTTCATGTAGGAAACATCAGCAGAGATTGGACTACAGCCTCTGTAGTTCTGTTATTTACTGTCTGTTTGTGTGTCTTACCTGCACACTTGCTGCTGTGTGCTGTTTCTCAGTCAAATATTTCCCCATGTACTCACAGTCTATTTTGGTTTAGTTATTTAAAAGTTAACTGTTAACACCTCTGGACCAGTTTACAGTGTGTTGCTCGGCGTGGCTCTTTAAATCCAGAGGAACTTGTGTGTAAAAGTTGGGGGAAAAAAACACATCAGCAGGTAGCTGCTGTCCCGTTACTATGGTTACCAGTCACACCACCACCATCCTGTGGTCCCGTGTGTGACTGCCTGAGGAAAAGTGTGTGAATCATTGTTTCTCTGTGTGTGAGCAGTGTGTCCAGGGCTGCCTTTGATGAAGCGGGCCGCCGGTGACAGGCTCATGTGAAAGAGGAGACTCCCAGGGGAGCGTTCAGGATCGCTGAACAGTTTTCAGCATTTTTTTTTGTCAGGATTTCTCAACTTTAAAGAGTAGTTGAATAGACTTAGTTTGCTTTGAACTGCACCGCTTCTTTGTCTGGTCTGAGGTGTGTGTGGAGGATATTTTCATATGATGTTTTGCATACATGTAGTATTTATAGGAACTGTTTTCATGTTCTGTTCCTGAAATCCATGCATCGAGAGAACACACAAATAGTACTGGCTTGTGTGCATCTGTATCAGTTCAAATCCCCCTGGGTATTTTTCTTTCCTATACAAAGTCATTGGTGTGTGTGTGTGTGTGTGTGTGTGTGTGTGTGTGTGTGAGTGAGTGAGGAAACAAAATGGATGAGGCAAATTGGAAGCTATCAACCTTTGAACTGTGGGTCAGGTCATTATCTGAGGTCATCTCATGTCCCCCTGGAGCTCACACACACACACACACACTTGATGTATCTGCCCTCCTATTGATCAGTAATCATTCTCTCGTTAAACAGAAAATGCTGTTGGCTCTCCTGATCTCACAGCTATTAGCAACCAGCGCAGCAAGCTCCTCAGCCAAATTTCTGCAGTGTGTGAGTGAGTGAGTGTGTTTGTGTGTGTGTGTGTACTGAGGAATGTTTGGATGTGTGACAGGTTGTGTTTGGGTGTAAAAGTGTGTTTGTTAGGTTTGTGACAAAGAGAGAAAGATACATCTGAAATCTGAGAGATTTGTTTCAAGGAAAACCACCTTCTGTAAAAAACACCTTGATTCCTGTCAGGGTGCCATTGACACTGACATGACTGACATGACACTGCAGGTGAATGCAACAGTTAACCAAAACAAAACTGAAGAAGAATGCATGGATTGTTGGGAAGATTCCTCAATGGAAGATACATTTTTTGATGAAATGAAGAGAACCGAGACAAGTAGGACTAGCTGTGTTTCTTTAGCCACCACTGATTAGCTTCAGAAGAAAAGTTGCACATCCTTCATGTAGGAGGCAAAATGTGTATTTAACCTCTGTTGTTTATTATTTGTTAGGCTGCACACATTCTTTTTGTCACTTTCACTTCCGGTTGTAATTGGCACAGGTGTGGGTGTGGTTTCACATTATTTTTCCTGTTCTTTCACTGGCGTGACGGTTAGACGAAGAGGGTGAGTGTTGGCTCCGATATTTTCTGTTGACCTTCATCTCGTTTCGCTTTAGTTTGTTTGTTAGTTGTTTGTTTCATAAATGATCCCAAAAATTGCAACGTTGGACATCTACATGGATTTCATTGAACGAGTCACAGTTATGAGCCAGACTCAGCCTCTTAGCGGCTTTTTAATTGATAGTAGTCACTACGCTCCAGTTTTATGGGGGTTTTAATTGTTGTGATTATTTTGTCTGTAAAATAATTAATCCTTTAGTTTACTCTAACAAGCAGCTAAAATACAGATCTGTTTTAATTCAATAGTCTATGGGATAATGGAGACACAAGCACTGGCGATGTTCTAACAAGCAAATGTTGCTAGCTACTGTCAATTCCAACATGGTTCATAAATTGTGTGTTGGTTGCATAATTGCCAAGTTGTTTGAGCACAGTTTTGGTTGATTTCCTGCTATACCAGTTCCTACTACTCGTTGGTGTCAGATCAAGACTGTGATCTCTGACAAGATATGAAAGCTTGAGTTCCTTTTATCTCTTCTCTTAAGCGTTTGGCCACAGTTTCCTGGTGTGAACTCAAGCAGAATCAAACCCTTATACCACCATTAGACTCCACTTTCAATGTCACTGCTTTTCTTCCACCATTTACACTACTTACACGTGGCCCTCAGATCCTGAAGTGCAGGACGACGGTGCAAGTATTTTGAGTCAACCTGCTGGTTGACATGGCACTAGACCTCATCTGGCCTAACTTGCCCTCTTAGCTGCATGTGTGTGTGTGTCTGTTACATGTTGAAAACCAGGTAATTATTTACCACGTGGTGTTTATCTTTTCATGAGGTAAAATAAAAGAGAGAGGACAGAGCTGATAAGACATGTATAGAGAGAGGGAGTGTGAGAAAGACTGTGCCCGAGCTGATTGACTGATCCTGATTCATTGTGTTTTAATGTATACTGATACATTCTTATGGTGCACACACTAGTGCTGAAATGACTGGTAGATTGAGTAGTGTAGGAGTTCATTGTTGTCCTTTATTAAGCAAAAATGGTAATTATTTGTGGTTGCAGCTCTTAGGATTTTCTACTTATCTTTCTCTTATGTCTTTGTAAATTAAATATCTGTAGGCTTTGGACCACTGGTTGGACAAAACAAGAGATTAAAAGAGCATTGCTTTGTGCTTAGGGGCATTTGTTAGTCTTTAATTGATTAATTGTAAAGATAATTGAGGGATTAATCAATATAACAAATATTTGCCAACCTAGCAGAGACTATGTGAGATCCCCTCATTTTTATCTGGTGCAGCACGGTGACTTAATTCTCCAAATTTACAGTAATAAGACAGTTTAGTGACAGACAAGTGCAGAGGCGTACTGTCAGCTAAAATATTGACATTAGTAGAGGAACACATGCATGAGATGAGCAAGACGATGCAGTAAAATTAGAAAAAGGCAGAAAAGTGGGCGTTTGAGAAGCTTCTGCTCATGTGCTGCTCTGTAATCAGCTCCAGTATGTTGATCCAGCAGGCAGCTGAAAGTCACACACACACACGAAGAAGACAATGTGAAGCAGACTGCATGACAAATGTGACAGTCAAACATTCATGCACAAACTCAACAACATACCACGCTACTTTGAAAAAAAAAAAAAAAAAGCACAGCTGAGCTCTGAGTAATAAAACACGCCCCCTTTAAAAAAAAAAAAAAATTCCTTCTCATACACACGCTCACACTCACTCACTCTAGACGCAAGTGAAACACATGTTTCTGGCTCTGGCAGTGACATCACCCGCCTTGTGGTCAAAGTCCAGTTCCACTATCCGGCTTAGAGCTGCTAACACACCAGTCAGTCAGTCAGCGCTACTGTAACCACTGACACTCGGCAGAGGGAAGACCGGTAAAAGAAGAAGAATAGAAGCGAGTAAGAGATGAGGGATTATCTACGTGATTAAGGATGGCTCTTCTTTGACAGCCTGGATCCAGCGGGCCGCACTGATCAACTGCAGCCTCCTTCTCCTCCCTCCTCCTTCTCCTCCCCCTCCTCTTCCCTCTACCTTCACTCCTTTTCTGCTCTGTTTTCATTCTTACCACTTCACTTGTATCACTCTCCTTGTGGTTTCTAGTTCACTTTTCCACTCCATTTCTTTGCCACCATTTCTTACCAGTTTCCTGTACTGTCCCTCTACTTTTACTTAGTTATTTCTCTGTTTTTTCATTCCTCTGTCCCCCTCTCTCTTCCTCTCTTCTCTCTGGGAGGGAGGGATGAGTGCCACGGCTGCTTACAGGCAGTTCCTCCAGGATCTGGAGGAGAAAAGAGGTCGGTGCCCACTTAAACTTTGTCACCTTTCATTTACAAGTGGTTTTGAAGCCTGTGAAGACACTTTTATTAGTGTCTCCGAGGCTATCGGTGTTATAATATGTTATAATGCAGGATCTTATCTTGTATTATCTCTGTTTAGAGGACTGTGGGTTGATAGCAGGAGAGTGACATGTTGCACGTGTGGATTGCTCACTAGTGCTGTGAATCAGCGCAAACCAAACTATGGGTTGGGCTTTAAGGTGTCATACCTGCTCTTCAGGGATTCTTGTGCTACAAGGTAGCACAGTATGTTAGAAATGCTCTCACTCACACAACTTTGTTTCCACTGAAAAGGGTTAAAAATAGAACTTATAGCTGTGTCTTAGCTCCTGTGTGCAACATACTCCGTTGAGTTACTGTACTTGTCTGTGGCTTACATTAAGGTTAACTTCATGTATGTGTGTGTCTGTCTGTTTACCTACTGGGCTGCTGTGTGGCGTCCTGATAAGATGTGGGTCAGTAGAAGGACGAACAGCTGCCTCCTTTCATATTAGCCAACAACACTGGTGTCTGCTATCACCCTGAATGCAACACTTTTGGCTTTAAACTCTCAATTAGCTTCAGCAGCTAATTGTTAAATATTGGTAATTGTTTTATTAGCATTGGTTGTGGTGTTAATATTCCTCTGCCTTTTGTCATTGATGACATTTGATCCTAGTCGGATCTGGCAAGAAATCCAACATGTGCAAAACACACCCTCACACAAAGGAGAAAAGACACCAGCAGGATGGTGTGTTGAAGGATCAGGTGACGTTCAGGAGCAGGCAAGGATGCTTCGCTTCAGCAGCTGTTATCACAGCAGTCAGTAGAGCGTAGCATAAACCAGGCAAGAGTTTTGTCTCTGGCCTCTGGTGTCTGTCAGCTTCTTCTTGATATATCACATTTCTTAATACTTTGAATATGTTTTACATCTGTACACATTTAAACCACAAAGCCAGCATTTGTTTTCTGTATTTCAGTCTTGTTTGTAATGTAACTGACTGTGTTTGCTGTTGATGCAGATTGGATGCAACCTGAGTTGTAGCTCCGTAGTTTCAGACGGACTGAAACTAGAGTTAAACCCTTGGAATGAAAAGCAGATTAGCCTAATTCTAGATGGTGTGACTACATTCTTACTGTTGGATGGTAACGATACCTCAATATATTATTTTTATCCCTCATAAATTATATACAATGCCATTTAATTGCAACACAGGACTCTTGATGGCAACTTTTTATTTCTTCGAGTAAAGGTTATTATCATTTGCCATAAGATGATGAAGATGAGAGCTTACCAGACTTCACAGCCAACTTTGTCTGTGTGATATTTTCTCTACTTTCTTACGGGCAGAATCACTATGGCATCACTCTAACAACAACCATCACTACTAGGGAGACGATTTGAATTGTAGAGATATGTGAAACTGGCAAATTTGTCTATTTCTCTTTTCATTTTCGGCTGTAACTGTGGTGTTGAAAGATATATAGTTTCTGCTGTGCTTATTTTCCGTACTGTGTTACTTTGCTAGTGAAATTACTGAGAATGAGATGAGACACAAAGCTTACTTGTCAAAATGCTGCTCATTAATTCAGCCATGAGGACCAGGCTACAAGGTTTTCCCAAATCTTGACAGCGTAACATCTCCGATTTTTTTGACTGAGACAAACTTTTGGTCTGCCCAGAGATCACCTCCCTTTTCAGAGGTCTAGTCCAGAGCTATCTCTGAGCATGTTTGTTCTTCATGGATGGAAATCTGAAAAACCCCAACCCTTCTCCACTCGTTTTTTGTTACCCGACAGCACTATACAGAACAAGACTTAAACATTTACTCTTGATATCTCGTCCCGCTTGCTCAGCGTTGTTGAATTATATGTACATGACACAAGGTTTTCTACAGGGAAGTGATAGTAAACAAACATTGTGATTCGGTCTATAACAACTTCAACAGCATTTTGTTTGGATGAAATGTTTACAGCTTGGTAGCACATACTGTAAATCCAAGGTTTCCATGAGTGTTATAAAGTCTAAAATGGGCAACATATCTTTACATATATACCCAGATATGGCACGTACACCATCCTTCCCTAGCTGGCTTTTTGTTTTTTATTAGATGGACAATGTCTAAAGCATCAGTATCTACATAGCATTTTTTCGTTTTGCTCCACTGCTACAGCGACATTTGATGCAATAGGCTCCTTATTGCGACCTTTTCACAGTCTGCAGACAACTGTATTCATCCGTACACCTTCTGGACACTTTTTTCCCTTCAACAACTGCTCCATCCCTTGGTCTGGCCTTTGGTGCGCTGTCTGCTTTTCACCTACCTTTTCTCACCATGCAAATGTGCACTGTTTTAGCATAAACGAGAAGCAGACACTCACCGTTTGTTTTTTGTCTTTTCCCCACCGAAACCCTTTCTCTACATAATTTAGGGACATTGAGAACCCTCTCTGCAGTCATCCAAATGTCAAGGCTACATTCACATTTAAACACATGCTCTCCCCTTGGTCTTTGTCGAGTAGTTTTACTATGGCCATGACCACACCTGCTGCTACTTGTGGTCTGGTGATATTATGTGGCACAGCACCCCCCTACTCCAACAGCTGCTCCGTCTGAGGCCTTACAGCAGAAGATGTCAGGCTGGGTTAGAATCACCTACAATCTCCCTTAACCCCTTAAATTACAGCTGAGGTTAAACTTCTTAACCACTTTAAAAGCCAGTGGGGAAATGTCATCATCATGAATGTAATTAATTTATCAAACACTGGATAGCATGAGCTTAAGCACAAACCTATGTGCAAACACATTAAACCACTTTTGTGATTTGGAGTATTACATACGCATGTAGTGTAAGCTAAAAAACAAATTTTAAACTAGTGTTGTTGTTATGAGGTTTCTGTACAGCAATGTGTGCACAGGTTTTTATCTTTCAGCTGGTGTAGTTCTTGGTCACACCTCAGAATAAACTTGTAACAGCACCATTGACTCCAATATTGTTTTGTTGTTTGCCTCATGGTGCTTAGAGTTGTGTGACCACCCGTGGGGCTGCAGCCCCTCCACCATCTGCACACACTCATATCTCCTCCTCCACAGGCTTAACCTCAGCGAGGGGCTCAGGAGCCTGTTTCACCTTTAAAATGAAAGAACAAGTGTACTTCTCTGGGCTGTCCATTGTTTCACATTGCATTTATCTTCCCTCACCTGCCACAGGAGACTAATGGTCTGACGAATAGCTGTGTGGAGAACAAGTATGAATGGGTTTAATGGGCTGACGGAAGATTTTGGTCACAATTTGTTTAAGGCGGAGTCGCTGTCAGCTTCTATTTTTATCTCTTATAAAGTATTCACTCTCTCTACCTGTTCACTGCAGTCACATGACGTGTGCTGCAACCTCTAAGGCTTGATTCATGTTTATCTGTGCGTGCCTCAGTTCACCATGTCCTTTCATGTTTTCTGTCCAACTTTGTGTTTCTGTGTCAGACCAGATCTGTGTCAATGCCCCCTGTACCAACAGCAGGGTTATGCTTTCAAGTTCATGAACCAAGGATCTCACTTGCTATGAAAGGCCTTTGTTTTCTGCCTTTTTGTAACTTGACATTTAAAAATAATGCTGATTAACTGCTAAGTCAATCACTGGAAAGTTAATCAAACAACTTTTCTGATTAAGGATTAATTGTTTCAAGTCATTTGTCGAGAAAGAAATGCCAGAAATTCGCTGGTTACAGCTTCTGGAATGTCAGGCTTAAATGTTCTGGGGTTTTTTTAATTTGTTTTTTTTTTTACTGTTTTGTATCATTGTTCTGGACTGTATGCCGGACAAAACGAGGAATTCAAAGACTTTATCTTGGACTCTTGGATGTTTTCTCACAATTGTCCAACATTTTGCAGACTAAACAGTGAATCAAACAGTTGCAATCATTTAATTCTTTCTCTGGCGAATGACTTTCTCTATTGTGTCTCTGCTCTATTCTTTGACTTTATGAATGGAGAAGATGGTGTGTGTGTGTGTGTGTGTGTGTGTGTGTGCGTGCGTGCGTGTGTGTGTGTGACAGTGAGTCATCCCATAAGGAGGTGTATATTTTTCATTATTTATGTGTGTTTCCTCTGCAACTCAGAGTTCCCCTTGCTGCTTATAGCCACCGTGACAACGCCTGGCTTTGAATCATTCCTCCTGCACTTACTCATACATTGACATAAACTCATACAGTCAGAGTTATACCAACTTAAAGGTGGTTTTAAGCTTTTGGGGCACATCACACTCTATAGACATACACATTTTTAATGTGGGTGTCTGAAATAGAAAAGTTGAGGTCCTAACCTTAGCAGTGTTGGTGTGCTTTTTCTGTCATCATGTGTAATTTTTCACAAAAGGCCATATTTTTAAACCCTTCATATATGTTTGTGTGTTAAAATATAGAGGTGTTATACTACTGCTGAGCATGTTGGTGGCTCCACATCCAGGGGAGTGTGGACACTGGAGGACAGCCAGAAGCAGCACTCGGCTGTGGGCGCAGACCCTGCAGGCCTCCTGCTCTTTCTCTGGTTCCCAAACATGCTCTGCAGGGCCCTGACTTGACTCTCAGCCGTCTGGCTCTATCCCACAGCCCCCAAGCAGCGTCCAGCAAGCCCCACTCACCCAGACTTTGCTCTGCTCCTCCGCCAGAGAACCAGAGGGAGTCCAGGTGGGCAGCGGGGTCCGTGTTTATGGCTGAGGGCCCTCAAACGCCTTTCCTCCAGTGTCCACATACACCCTGGATGTGGAACTGTGCACTTAGTCATTTTTTTTCTTAAGGTCCGAACATACTCGGGCGTACTATAAGCGGAACGGACTCCGCGAGGAATGTCCGCAGTCATTTGGGTTCCATAGTTGAGCGCACTTCCGCGTTGTAGTTTCCTGTAAAAATGTCCGTGAAAAATCCCCAAGATGTGAAAAATACATGCCAAGCAGTCACTGGTGCACGGAGCGGAGTCCGTGCGG